TTGTCAATTTAATTCACGATATTATTACAGTAGTAGTTTAATTGCGTTTATAAGTTCGGAAAAACAATTCGGCGCGAATGACTATAAATACGGTATATGTATGTAAATATATGTATAGTCACTGACGAGATATTATTAAGCCGTCGGCCCTGAACAAATTTTCATGATTATCAATTATGGGCCCGAAGCCCCGTAATTGAAGAATGAAGATGTTATCGACAATTAATAAAAATTTATGATTATTAATATAAATATTTCGTTAATACATTATTAAATTCGTGATTTTTTATTATATAAATACTGTAATAAGTAAGCACACTTTTAATGCTATAATATGTTATATATTGCCGAAAAATGTTTTCTCTGCAGTTATCATCTCTATAATCAAACTCGAATGATAACATTAAAATCATAATTTTAAATACAAATCGAGTATTATTAAATTTTTAATATATGTACATATTAGGTGTACAACTTTGCTTCCGCCGTTTTCCTATAGATGGCTTTAGCGGTAAGTGGTGGTCGAAATAAATAGATCATAGATCATACAATAGATCATACAATAAACTTGGGCATCTGTCAACATAACCCCATAGAAACATTAGTCGATTTGTGTCTGCATCATAAAGTTATTCTCGATTGAAAATGTCAGTTTACCAAATTCTCGTCATTTGCGGGAGGTTTTAATTTTTTGCTTCAATATGAAGAATCTGCGGCTGAGGCTCATCGAATGCTCTCAATACTTATAGTGAGGCCGCTATTAGTGAACGTGTCGTGGTTTCAACGCTTCAAGAACGGTGATTTTGACGTCGAAGACCGGCATAGCGGTGGAAGAGAGGTTTTCGAAGATGCAGAATTGGAGGCATTACTTGAGCAAGACTCGTGTCAAAATCAAGAAGAATTGGCACGATCATTGGGAGTGACTCAACAAGCCATTTCAAAACGCCTCAAAGCCATGGGAATGATTCAGAAGCAAGGAAATTGGGTGCCGTACGAATTGAAGCCGAGAGATGTTGAACGGCGTTTGTTTGCTTGTGAACAGCTGCTTGAAAGGCAAAGACGGAAAGGATTCTGCATCGCATTGTGATTGAGGACGAAAAATGGGTTCATTACGATAATCCCAAGCGCAGAAAATCATGGAGAGTTCCCGGCCATGCTTCCACGTCGACGGCCAAACCGAATATTCACGGCTCCAAGGTCATGCTCTGTATTTGGTGGAACCAGCTCGGCGTAGTGTATTATGACTGTTAAAACCGACTGAAACAATCACAGGCGATCGGTATCGAACGCAATTGATGCGTTTGAGCCGAGCATTGAAAGACAAACGGCCGCAATACAACGAGAGACACTATAAAGTGATTTTGCAGCATGACAATGCTCGACCCCATGTTGTGAAAGTGGTCAAGACATACTTGGAAACGTTGAAATGGGAAGTCCTATCCCACTCGCCGTATTCTCCAGACGTTGCTCCCTCTGACTATTACTTGTTTCGATCAATGGCACACGACCTGGCTGACCAGCACTTTTTTCGGTCTTATGAAGAAGTAAAAAATTGGATCGATTCGTGGATAGCCTCAAAAGATGAACAATTTTTTCGACGCGGTATTCGTACGCTACCCGAAAGATGGGAGAAAGTAGTGGCCAGCGATGGACAATACTTAGAATCATAAATGTATAACCAGTTTTTTACAATAAAGCCTCGAATTTCGGAAAAAAAAGCGGCGGAAGCAAAGTTGTACACCTACATGTCTACGAAACTAATAATAAATCATGAAATTAGTACCGTATTATTAATTTCTTATTCTTAATCAATTAAATTTTAACAAACACGCGAACTTCCATAAAAGCGCCGACCGTTTTTAATAATATCATATCATAGTATAGTATACATATAGTAATTCAGATTAAATTATTTAAGCATTAAAAATCTAGCTGATTATTATGTCCATTACTTTTGTTTCTTATTGTTGATTTTCAAATGTATGAGCAAAATCCAGCAAAATTCTTAATTTTTTTTATTCTACAATTTTATGTATTTATAGTAAATGTTAAGTTTAACTTCCTCACGTCCAATCTTGATGAAATCAGATTTATTTGGCGGGTCTTTACATAAAACGGTAAATATTAAATTTAGCCTCCTTCTCATATTCATTATTTTTATTCAACCCGAAATCCGGTAAATATATTTAATAAAAAATGAAAGGATATCCAGAACACCGAAAACGAACTAGCCACACATGGGTTCCTTCGTTGAACTTTCGTGCTGCTACTCTCACATTGAAATTAATTAAAAAAAAAATTGTTTGCAGGCTTATCATATCTATGGATAATTAAAGTTTTCATCCATCATATCTAATGTTACACCGATATTTACCACAAAATACAAAATCTCTATAAAAAATTCGCTCTAATTATGATAATTGTTTGCGTTCGGAGTATAAGAGTCTCAATGTAATCTCAATTTTTAAATGTAATGTAATGTCGGTGATAATTTTATTACATTGATGATGATCCGATGTAAAAAAATTGAAACGTTTGTATGTATTTATAATTGTTCCACAATATGTAATAAACATATAATATTGTATTGAGGTGTCCGGAAAGTTCATGCCGCAAAAGATTTAAATTTAATAAATGAAATTAAAAATTTAAATCTTCTGCGTTTCAATTTTCCTTCAAAATCGGCACGAACTTTCCGAACAATTCAATATAACACGAATAATAAACTTGACTTCTTAGTTTTACATTTTAGCCGTTTTATTTTGATAATTTAAAATTTTTTCCTCAAGCTGGATTCTACGTCTTCAATTTATTGTTCAAATGACTACAAATGTGGTATATATGTATGTATATATATTGTGTATGTGTGTGTGTGTGTGTGTGTGTGTGTGTGTGTGTGTGTGTGTGTAAATAATTCTTTAATACTTAAATAATTCACATTGAATTAAAAATCCAGCTTCGATCGTTATAGGCATTTAATTTTTATTAATTGTGTTCTCACATGTACGGTCTAAAATAAGATTTTTCAAATTATATTAGAAAAAAGTTATAGCAATGTGTGAAAAATTGCATACGATACATTGTCTCTTAAGATGGCGAGCTAGAGTTAAGATATATCATTTGTATTTATATTTTTTGTCAAAAGTTGTTAGTAGAATAATCAACTATTGATAATTAGAAATATATTGCAATATCTATAGTAATAAGAATACAAGTAAAAATTTTTGTTCAACACTTCCTGACGACCTGAAATCTTAATGCTTTCATTGCGTTTATGAGAAACTATTGATAAATAGTAGCAATCTGTTATTAAAATTAGTTCTCATGTTAAAATTGTTATAGGTTATGACACGATATATATCAAATCCAGATAATTTAAAATTGATGATGAACATGCTGAAGGAAAAGTCTCGCAATATACAATTTGAGGCTTTTCATGTTTTCAAGGTATGATAATGCTCAATATTGACTTGAATTTTCAATTCACAATTAATATTAAATTCATATATCTTTCATTTTCATATATCTAAGTTTTTTAATTCATATATCTAAGTTTTTCAATACTTGATTTATATATTACAGTATAAAATTCATTTTTTCTCAAATTTATAAAATTCATTTTTTCTTAAGTTTAAGTCATTTAAAAAAAATACGTAAAAAATGATTTTACCGAAAGAGAGAAGATAGATTAAAACGAATTTCATTCCTTCGGAATCAAAATGTATGATTATTTGAGTTATACAAGTATCAATTATTAACATTAATGTCGTTAAACTAAATAAAAATAACTAGTTTTATTAAGTCTGCGCATTGAGTTCTGCGCAAACTCCCACAGCCCTATTATTATTTTTATTCATCTCTTCTGATTATGTCTAGGTATTTGTGGCGAATCCCAACAAACCAAAACCTATTCTAGATATATTGCTCCGCAATCAGGAGAAGCTGATAGAGTTCCTGACGCGCTTCCACACAGATCGTTCTGAGGACGAGCAGTTCAATGACGAGAAGGCATATCTGATTAAGCAGATCAAAGAACTGAAGTCTGTACATGATAATTAAGTCAAGAAAATACAATTATTGCTACCGCTACGACTAACTACCATCATTGAATGCTTTCCAACAATGTTTACAAGTGACACTGTATAACACAGGGTGCGCTTCCTTTTCAATTGTGACACAAACATACAGTTAAGATATTGTGTCAATTTATATCACTTCATAAATGTCAAATTTTTATGTTTCATTACCATTTAATTTCCTAGAAGTAATATTTCAATAAGAGATGTTGTAAGTTTAAGATTATATTTGGATGTAGATGATATGAAATCTTTTTCTTTATTTCATTCTGGTGGTGAAATAAAAAAGCTAAGCAATGGATGCGTTCAGCAAAAAAAAATTAATTAGTGTTGAATGATTCTTTAATATGATTGATTCTTGCTTTAGTTTTTCGCTGAATCTAAGTGTAGAAATCAATCATTAAAAAATCACTAAGCACTAATTAATTTCTACTAATTAATTTTGAACGCAACCAATGTTTCAGTTATAAGTCGACACTCTGTATTACTGTGTCATATAGTGTATTGTGTTTCATTGCTAGAAAGCACTCGTTACTAGAATCTACTGCTGCTGTTGCTAATTACGGTTTTATCATTATTATATAATTATAATTCTTCATCATCATCATCATCATCATCGTCATCGTCATCATCATCATCATCATCATCATCATCATCATCATCATCATCATCATCATCATCATCATCATCATCATCATCATCATCATCATCATCATCATCATCATCATCATCATCATCATCATCATCATCATCATCATCTTATTATTATATATAATTTTATTTGTGAGTAAATAATTTACTGTGTAAATAAAAATTACATTTATATCTTATTGTACTATACTACATATAATATATAATCAATCGAGTTGTCATCGTTCTATCACATTTTTAGAAATGAGTCGGTTATTAAAATAGAATGAAAACTTAATTGTCTCTTGATTTTTGTGATTTTATTTGATATTGTCAGCTTCTTCATTTGTAGTTTTATCATATTTAAAAAATATCTTACTGTCATATTTTAAAATTGTTACAAATATGTATAAGTACTTTTCGAAACATTTATTTCTAGTCCTCGCATTTTTTAATTATCTTTTTAAAAAGTTCAGATTTGTAGCCTTAACGCTTACATTTTTACGATTTAAATCTACTACATTGATCAACATTCAGACCGATACTATGCAAACAGAATTTTTTTAATGTAACAAATATATATATAATTTATCAACTTTGATATATTATGTGCAAATTCTTTTAACAATAGCTGTAACGGCAATACTCATGTCGGTAAACAGACGTGGTTTCTCCATTGCTAAATTATTTCGATCAGGTTCACAATTGGGATATAATTTCTCTGGGTCCTTAAATTTTTGGAATTTTAGCACTACGACATCCTTCAAAACTTTTTGTTGAATATTTTTCATTAGATAATTTATTTGTGGACACATTGTTATAGCCTGAAAAAATATCGAAAAATATATAAAAACAGGAAAAAGTTAAAGAGTAAAGCTATACAAAAAATTATCCAAAAATTAAAAAATTATTAAAAGGCTTAAAGAATTTGAGACGAAAAAATGTAACCCTCAACTACATAAGTGGGCCATTTGGACCAGGGTGAAAATTTTAATTTTAGTCGGCTGCTATTTTTGTACAGTTAATATTGCAGAGTTGAAGTGACTTGGACCCATCAAATGTAAATTCGACAGAATTTTGCCGAAAATGAAAATTTGTTTTTAGAAGTGCCTGTTTATTAGTATATTCGTGTTCTCTTCTTAAAATTAAAACATATTCATTGTCAAAAAAGTATTTTTGTGAAAGAGACATCTTGGTAAACGATCGTTCTATTTTCTCAGATTTATAAAATCGTGAATAAACAATGTCGAAATCATTATATTTGATATAAAATATTTTTCATTACATTTTTAAAGAAGAAAATACTCAACCTACCTACGATATCATTGTTCAGAGCATGTATAAAAATGTCTCTGTTCCACTCGTGCAAATAATTATACTTTTTGAAATGAATCAATATAATGTGTTTTTTCTTTCTTGAGTTCACATTTTCAAAATATACTTATTTTTATTTGATATTTTTCATAGATATGATTTTTATTATAGATATGATTTTTGGGAAAAAATCTATTGCACTTTTCACAAATTTTTAAAAATATTTTTTAGCATAATTTTTTCAACTATCAATCTTTTTATGTTTTGATATTTCGATTCTGTACATTCTAGCATTTCATTTAAAAAATATATTTTTTCCATTGAGAATTTGTGATAATTACAGAGCAGATAATTTAGAAATACCGATTGACTTGGACCCAGACATGTAAATTGAGACTCTAAAATAGTTTAAAACATGTAGTTGAGGGTTAAGAATATAAAAATATATATAAGATACAAGATGATGAATACTATAAAATTTAAGAATTTAGAAATTATTCTTTGCTTAATTTAAGCTTTACCTTTGCGTAATCTTCATTCTGACTAAGCAACCATATTAAAGTAGCACAATGCAGAAATACTTCCTTATCTTTCAGTGATTTGTTTAGAAGATTTACCAATGCCAATGCATATTCTTTCTA